GCCCCGGGAGCCCGGCTCGCGCGTGCGCAGAACGCCCACCTGGCCAGCCCGGGTTGTCTGGGTAACCTAGGCAGACAGCGTTTAGAGGCAAACGCTGACCCTCTCACCACTTTCTTGTGGGACTACCCTAAACTCGGAGAGCCGTAACACTGCAGAGTCATCCCGACTTCGCTGGATCCGTAAAACAGTAAAACTAAACGCTTCCCTGGATTCCGTCAGTTTTGTCTGGTATTTGTCTAAGGAGATGTCGTGACCTGTGCACAATAAGGCAGAGTTACGGTTTCCCTGCCGGGCAGGGCGGACTACTCTAAACCGGGAGCCCCGGCAGTTCAGTGGCAGGTGCTTCCTTCCGAGCGCTGGTTCCCTGCATCCGCCTCCCCGGGGGCTTTTGCGGGTAAATTCTCCCCCGCTGCGCGCGCGTGCACCCTGAGTCTGGCGCGCGTCTGTGTTAAGGTCTGCCTTTGGAGACACCCTGGCGGAGACGATGGCAGAGGACGCTGCTGCCACTGTCGCTTCTGCCCCCTTTGTGAGTGAGCCTTCTTTCGCCGCCGTGACAACTTGGAACCTGTAAACTAAAAACAATTTTAGAGATCCACCAAGACGTACAAATTTTTTTCAAGTTGGATCAGCTCTGTGATCCCCAAACTATTCTGATCCGCAGTTCTCAAATTTAAGTGACCTTTTCGGGTCACGTACCATACATGTAGTGTCCACCAAAATAAATAAATAAATGTATACACACTTCAGGAAAAGAAAAACTTGTATAAATATTTTAATACTAAATTTATTCAGACATCCTGAGATTAATACAAGTTACCTTTGGCCTCTACAGTTACAAGAGGTGCTCAGCGTGGTGGCCATGAGCTTCCAGACGTTTATCAGGAGGGTGAGCTGCTGCTTGGGTAACCTTAGTCGTTGAGATTGCTGAACCTGCATTATCAATTTTTTTCTCTAAAAGACAACACTGTAAGGTTTTCTGTGATATACAACATCGTCCAGGGTTCCGCATACGAGGGTAACACCATTTGTTGAAAAAACATCATACCATTTTTCTTCTCCTGAAGTATGTATACATTTTTTGGTGGATATATACATATACCCACATACATATGGAGACAGAGAGAAAGGGAGAGAGAGAGATCTATGGAGCCGATCTCAGAGGTTCTGAGTTAATTAGAATGTTGTGTAGGTAGCCTCAGCATTCGACATTTTAAGAATACGGATGAACTCTTCAGGCTAGGAACCAGTAACCCAGGCACTGTCAATGAAAACTACTTCAGGGTCCTCCCTCACGAGGTCATGTGCTCTCACTCCCCGTGTTTATTGCTGGATATCATTGAATTTCAAGGCGATAGTAGTCAAATAATTAAATGCATCATCAAAATATTTACTAATGTAAGGATTTAGTTACTGTTATTGCTGTGTCACTGAGATAAATAACTGGCTTTTTTTCCTTTCTTTTGGAGTGCTGTGTATCAAACCCAGGGCCTTCTGTAGCAAACTGCTCTTTAATAATGATTTATTGATGTCTTAACACATGCAACTCTGTTTATTTTATTAATTTTGGCAGAATTGTTATAAATGAGAAATAACAGGGCCACTTGGATGCTCTGGTAAAACTTCATACACCCTTGAGTAGTGAATCCTCTCTCTCCCTCTCTCTCCCTCTCACTCTCTGTCTCTCCACGTAATTATCACTTAGTTAATACACAATCAAAGGAAGAAGAGTTAACCAAACGCTCACCTAATTCTGAGGCTCTTTTTGTCTCCTTAAAAAAAACTGTGGCAGGGCTGGGGATTTAGCTCAGCGGCACAGCGCCTGCCTGGCAGCTCAAGGTCGTGAGTTCAATTTCCGGTACCAGAAAAAAAACAAAAAAAAAAACAAAAAACAAAACCTGTGGCTATAGTGATACCCTTCTCCCCTATGAACTCAGACACCAGTCATCTCTTTTCTAGGTGGCATTCACGCCTTTGCACTTCTATTGACAGCTGTCCTCAGTGTGTTTCAATAAGATTTGTAAACCTTGCCTTACTTTTATGTCTTTTTTATTCATTTGTTTATTTGTGCCAGAAGAAAACTGACATCTCAGTGGAACTTACTCTTAAAATCTGAACAGTCGTTTTCAAAGAGACCATCTCTTTATGTCATTTATATGTTGAAATGATAATGGTCAGTGGAAATAAACATGTCTATTGCTGTGATAGTGAAATGCTGCATTTAAATCATTGTGAATGCTGTTAATTTTACATCCAAAACAATTATTGTGCTCTTTCAAATGAGTATGGAAAGATTCTGACAGTTAATATAGTTCTTAACAAAGGGGATATTGACTAAGTAACTTTAGGAAGAGCCTTTATGGACTTTGAGACTTCCTGCTACAGAAATAATGTTAGCCATTTGGTGGTATGTGACAGAAAGCCCAAAATAAAAGTAGTTTAAACACAACTGAAGGTTGTTTCTCTTTTCTATATGACTGAATATGAGCAGTCCCAGACTGGTATGACAACCCCAGTGTCAGGCCCAGGCTTCCAGTATCTGACTGCTCTACCCTGGTTAGCACATGCCTTTCATTCACCATCTTGGTTACTTTTCTCTCGTTGCTGGGACAAAATACCCAACGCCCAAAATGAGGGAAGGAAAGGTTTGTTTAGCTCACAGTTTGTGGAGGTTTCAGTCCATACTCCGCTAGCTCCTAGGCAAAGTGCACAGGGCAGAGAGCAAATGTTTATGTTTGGAAACACAGTAAAGTAACAAGAGCAAAAGGGAGGAGTGGGGTGAGCAGCCTCTTTCTCCCCCTTACATTGTAAGCAGGCTACCCCCACCCAGGGGGCAGGTAGCACTCACACTGACACAATGAACAACATCCTAGAGCAGGAAGGACGTGTCCTTTTCACCCCAAGATGTAGCCCTGCTGAGTCACTTAGGCAAACCTCCAGACTCCCCAGGTTCACACAGTGTGTCAGCCATAACACTCACCATGCACTGTGCTCAAGCTTCAGCACCTTCCTCTGAAATCAAGTCTGCAGAATCGGAACAGAGTGGGCATGACGGCACTCCCACAAAGAGACCTGCCGGTCCAGAACGCTTCCGCTTGATGCCATTAACAGCACTTAGGCATGATGTCACAAGGAACCAAGGAACCCAGGTCCCGACTCTCTGAGGAATCAACCCTCACAAACCTCCTGGGTCTTTTTCCCTTTGATGAAAGAATTCAGCGGAGATGTGAGATGCATAAGCAGCCATGCAGAAGTGCAGGCAGAATTTATAGCAAAGCGAATATGGAGAGACATCCACCTGCGGTGACAGGGGGCAGTGCTACTTACTAAGAAAGTGGCTGAATCTGAGCCCCAGGTGTGTCGGTAAAACTGAAGTAGTAAAGATAAAAATAGCTGCTGAATGAGACTGTCGAAGAGCTGGGTCTGATGGTCTGAAATAACCACTTACGCCTCTCTTTTTGTAGCAGATTCTCTCCCATCACAAAAGGAATTTTCAGGGCACATCAGTAAGAGGCAAGAGAAGGACTTATTAGTGTGATGGAGGCTTGGAAGAGCAGAGTCGAGTCAGTGGTTATGGGGCTGGGCTGTGTTGAGCTCTGGTACACAGAGATTGCTGGAAGGACTAAGAATCAGACCACCGTCCTATCTTTTTTTTTTTTCTGTCATGCCATTGACGGGGAAATTGGTTTGGGATCTTTGCTGAGGAGCTGAAGTGGGCCTTTTGTTTCATACTAGGGGTGATATGTGAGGTCAATACAGACCCAGACCTGGGGAAGGACCGGAGAGGTCATATAGATGACTGCAGACATACAGACCCAGCAATTTTTAGCTAAGGAAGGATCGGACCCATGTAGCAGGAAGTGAGTTAACTGCAGAGTCTTGTAGAGACAATTAGGGACGTGGGGAGAAGCAGTGGGGATGCAGCTGTGGGACGTGGTGAAAGGAACAGGAGGGCTGTCCTCATAAGGCTGGGTAGGGAGAAGGCAGGAGATGGTAGCAGCGTGTCATGCGTCTCTTTCCAGGCTAGTTGCAGGACTGGGAGATCGTCTCTGAGCTGAAGTTTGCCCAGGCGGAAAGGTGCAGCCACGTAAGAGCTCAGATGCACTGTTCCCACGTGGTCCTGAGAGGTGGCTCGGATGCAAAGGAGAGTGATGGGGAACAGGGAGACCCAGTCTTTATGGAGCCTGCAGTGTGAGCTTAGTGAGGCGGGCCTTGAGACCACTGGCTCTCTCTACCTTTCTAGAGGGCTGAGGCCAGGTAACTCGGACACTTCCTGGATAATTTGACCAATAAAAGCTGGGCCATTGTCTGACTAAACAGCGGTGGGAAGGCCAAACTGGGGGATAATACTGGCTAGGAGAGAGTGGATAACAGATGAGAACTTTTCAGAGCCAGTGGAAAAGGCTTCTACCCATCCAGTACAGGTGTTGACCCAGACCAGGAAGGATCTTAGCCTTTTTACTCTTGACAACTGGGTAAAATCAATGTGCCGGTCCAGAATTGGAGAAAAGCCCTGATATGTAGGAAAAGGAGAGGGGTCTCAAAAAGCCCTGAGGAATAATTGTGTGGCAGACAGAGCATCGAAAGGTGGGCATTTTGAGAAAAGTCTTCTGGGGACAAAGCAGATGATGCACTCCAGCGATCTGGTTCAGGGTCTGTAGGCTGAGTGAAAGCTGTCATGAAAAGGTGAAAGAATGACATGGGCCTGTGAAGTGGGAGGGGGGCGCTTTCCCTGGCTCAGGAACCATCCGTGTTTGGTGGGGAGGCCTTGATACTGTTGGCTTTCAGAAAGGGAACAGGCCGGAGTCACATAAGAATGGCAAAACACTGACCCTCAGAAGTGCAGATGGGAAGGCGGGCTGCCTCACTAGTGACTTTATCTACAAAGGCACTTTGAGCAACTACGGGGTTTGAAGGCCTCTGGTGTCCTCAGCAGTGAAGTGCACCTACCCGAGTCGGTGATAGGACGGCCTAGAGAAGGGCTTGCATGCATGGAGCATTCGTGATCGAAAACCCTCGGGAGGTGAGAAATCCGCTGTCTGCCTGCCCAGGTGGCAGCGTGATTACACAGTTTACAGAAGCATACTCGGAGTCTGTATAGATGTGAATGCATAGGCCCGTGGCCAGAGTAAGAGTACAGGTCAGAGCAGTCAGGTCAGCCTATTGAGAGGTGGTGGATGAATGGAGGGTGGCAGCTTCTGTGATAGAATCATGGGAAGTCTCCCTTGCACTCCTGCCGGGGCAGGGAAGTTGGGGTGGGCTTGCAGTAACCCCCATCAGTGAACCAGGTGTAGTTAGGGACAGGAAAGAGGAAGTAGGAGAAAAGGGAGAAGTTGCTAGGTGTATTAGGAGGAGGAGGAGAGCAAAGCTGGGGACCCAGAGGCAGAAGTGTCCTGC